GGGCTAGGAATGGGGAAAAAATAAGAACCAAGATGCATTATATAAAGGTACAATTCCCAGTGAGAAATGTAATTGTGTTGTATACCTACAGTGTACCAATAAAAGAATTTAATACAAAAAAAAGAAGAAAAAAAATTGATGGGCATCAAGGAGAAAGCTGGAGATAGTGCAAATGCCATGAAAAACCTGCTCAAAGAAGTAATGGCAGAAAACTTCCCAAACATGGAAAAAGAATTTGATACACAAGTAAGTGAGGTATATAGAACTCCAATTAACCATGATCAAAATAAATCTTCACCAAGGCATATAATTATCAAGATCCCAAATATTCAGCCGAAGAACAGAATATTAAAAGCTGGCACAGAAAAGAAAAAAAATCACCTATAATGGAAAGCCCATCAGAATCACAGCACACTTCTCAATGTAAACCTGTAAGTCAAGGAGAGCTTGAAATAAAATATTTCAGGTTCTGAAAGAAAACAACCTCCAACCTAGACTGATGTAAGCCAGAAAACTATCTTTAAAACTCAATGGAGAAACAAGATATTTCCGTGACAAAGAACAACTGAAGAAATTCATGACTGCTAAACCAGCTCTACAAAATGCTTTGAAGGACATTTCAGAAAGAGACATTTAAGACCACAATTCCAAGAACACAAATAGAAAGAAACCACCGGGCAGGGCAAGCAATTAAACAGAGAGGAAAGACAGGGAATCAACAGCAGAAACATAATATGACAAGGATAAGCCAATACATACATTTCAGTTATAACCATAAATGTAAATGTTCTCAACTCACCAATCAAAAGAAACAGACTGGCATATGGATCAAGAAACAAGATCCAACAATATGTTGCATGCAAGAAACACATTTAACTCAAAAACAAATTTATAGACTGAAATTCAAAGGATGGAAAAAAATATTCCACGCAACAGCAACCTGGAAAAAAGCAGGGGTAGCTATTCTATTTGCAAACAAAGTGGATTTTAAGCCAAGACTGATTAAGAGAGACAAAGAAGGTCACTACATCCTTGTAAAGGGAAAACTCCAAGAGGAAAAGAAAATCATAAATATATAGGAACTAAATACCAGTGCACCAAACTATATAAAACAAATATTAATAGACATGAAAAATTAATACAATTTTCACTAATTACAATTAATACAATTAAGCACTAATACAATTGAAATGGGAGAAATCAACACCCCACTGTCACAAATAGACAGATCATCTAGACAAAAAATTAAAAAAGAAATATCAGAACTTAACCAAACCTGTAAATGGACATAGTGGATGACTACAGAGTGTCCCACACCATAACATCAGAATAAACATTCTTCTCAATTGCACATGGGATGTTTTCCAAAATAGACCACATACTAGTCCATAGAACATCCATAAGTAAATTCAAAGGAACAGAAATAATCCCATGCATATTATCCGACGATAGTGCAATTAAATTGGAAATCAATGGCAAAAGAAACCACAAGAACTTCATAAACACATGGAAATTAAATAATGTTCTCCTGAATAACCAATGGGTCATATCAGGCATGGTGGCTCACACCTGTAATCCCAGCACTCGGGAGGCAGAGGTAGGAGGATTGCCACGAGTTGAGACCAGCCTGAGCTACAGAATGAGTTCAGGGCCAGCCTGAGCTACAAAGTAAGACCCTGTCTCAAAAAAAAACAACCCAATGGATCACAGATGAAATTAAAGAAGAAATTGAACAGTATATACAATTAAATGATAATGCTGATACAACATATCATAACTTATGGGATGCAAGGAGAGCAGTCTTGAGGGGAATATTTGTAGTAGTAAATTCTCACATCAGGAAAACAGATCAAGCTCAAATAAACAACCTAATGTTGAACCTCGAATGTGTAGAAAAAGAAGAGCAAGTCAAGCCCAAAGCTCATATGAGGGAGGAAATTATGAAGATCAAAGCAAAAATTAATGCAATTGAGACTAAGAAAAAAATACAAAGAATCAATGAATCAAAGATGGTTCTTTGAAAGATTAAATAAAACTAACAAGCCCTTTGCCAACCTTATCAAAAAAAAGGAAAGACTCAAATCCATGCAATTAGGAATGAAAATGGTGTAATTACAATGGACCCAGCAGAAATCCAGAGGATCATCAATACCTACTTTGAGAATGAATACACCAATAAGATAGAAAACACAAAAGAAATGGACAGATTCCTAGATATGTATGAATTATCAAAGTTGAACGAAGAAAACCTAAATATTCTAAACAACCCAATATCAGTCAATGAAATTGAAAATGTAATTAAAAACTTACCAACAAAGAAAAGCCCAGGGCCTGATGGTTTCACTGATGAATTCTACAAGAAATATAGAGAAGATCTAATGACACTACTGTTTAAACTCTTCAAGGAAATTGAAAGGGAAGCAATACTCCCAAAATCATTCCTGGAAGGAAGTATTACCCTGATACCAATACCAGAGAAAGACCTAACTAAAAAAGAATACTACAAGGAAATCTCCCTAATGAACCTAGGTGCAAAAATAATAAGATACTGGCAAACAGAATGCAACAAATCATCAAGAAAATTACACATCATGACGAAGTAGGATTTATTCCCAGGATGCAGGGATGGTTCAACATACCAAAATCAATAAATGTAATACACCATATCAACAGAGCCAAAGACAAAAATCACATGATCATCTCAGTAGACGCAGAAAAAGCAGTTGACAAAGTCCATCTGCCATTCATGATAAAAAAAACTACAGAAAGGGCTGGGGATTTAGCTCAGTGGTGCTGCGCTTGCCTGGCAAGTGCAAGGTCCTGAGTTCAATCCCTGGTACCACACACTCACACACACACGTGCACACACACACACACACACACGCACACACAAACCACTACATAAAATTGGAATAGATGATCTCAATCTGATAAAAGCCATCTATGACAAACCAACAGCCAACATCATACAAATTGGTAAAAAAACTGAAAGCTTTCACTCAAAAATCAGGAACAAGACAAAGATGTCCAACTGTCACCTCTCCTATTTTAAGAAAGGAAAATAGGAAAATGGATGCACCTGGAAAATATAATGTTGAGTGAAATAAACCAGACATTCAAGCTTAAATACCATATGGTGTCTCTCATTTGAGGCAAGGTACAAACAAAAGGATAATGAAGGATGGACAGAGAAGACATATAGGTAGATTTCTTGCAATGGGAAAGTGGTCCTAGAGGGAAAATACAAGGGGAAAGGTGGAGAGGAAGAGGAAATAAGTAGAAGAAAGATATGCCATGAACAGGAACCTAATAATCTCAATGAATGTAAACATTATATGCCATACATAAGCTAAGATTAATAATATGAAAAGAATGAAGAATGAGATAGAGGAATTGTAGAAGCAGGGCGGGAGGGGTGGGGAAGGGGATTATTTTACAGAAGAAAAAAGCTGTGGTATGTACATGTAACCACATTCCAAGATGATTGTAAACCACATGAACTGCAAACATGTACTAATAAAATAAAAAATAAATTTTAAAAGTATTTGGCATCACTCTCTAGAGAGAACAATTAAGTCACTTTACCTATGAAAAGGACCAGGGAACATGTCAGCCTTTGAAAAACTCAGTAAGATTCACTCCAGCAACATCCTAGAAATGAAGACTAGTTAACTATTCAGGGAATAGTCACAAAGCCAGGGCATTTGGAAGAGTCATAGCCTTTAATTTTATTCTGTATATAAAAATCAACAAATGTGGCACTTAATGAAAAGGTATCTTTACTTCTGAATAGTATGATGTAGTAATGAATTTATTGTCCTCAATCATACTCACTGATTGAATAAAAGAGCTCACATAAAAAGAAGGGTAATTGTATCCAGAGATATATCACATAAACATGATTTTTCATGAAATAGCAAATGGAAACAAAATACCATGAGATCAAAGATGTTGGAATGGAGTAATTTGTTTAGTGAGTAACAGAAGTCACAGGAATGCAAATGGATGAGAACATGGAGGTGTTTCCTCTTCTCTGGGTGCAAAGGACAGGGAACAAGTTGAAACAAGAAATGATCAATGTCAATTTTACTCACCTTAGACTTTGTGTACCTTCTTAATGGAATGGTGGCTTAACCAAAAATTTAGAAGCTTAAAAATCATTTTTCTGTGATATTCCAGCTGGACTTTTATTATCAGAGCACAACTTCCTCCTGAAAGCATAAAATTATAATTCAAAGCACAGACATGAGAACATATTTAGGACATTTTGAGTATTTAATGAACTTAAAAATTAAATTAGAGCTAGGTATGGTGGCACTATCCATAATCCCAGCCTTCTGAGGCCAAAGATATATCAAGACCAATTGGCTAATTTAGAGACTGGGAGACCCTGTCTCAAAATAAAAAATAAAAGCTCAGTGTGAATGCTCTGGGGTCAATCCCTAGTTACACACACACACACACACACACACACACACACACACACAAGAGCTAGTACCCAGTAGCAACACAAATTAGAGGGTAGAGAACTAGAGCCTTAGCAGTACTGGAAATATGGAAATGTCAAAAATAAGATGAATGGAAAGTAGCTCATAAGCAGGAAGGCAAGGAAGAAAAAGAGAGGATTCAAAGTCAAGCTCAATATGGAGACACTAGAGATTATGATAAAAGCCAAGCCTATTGATAGGAAATGAATAAATGGATGGATGAATGAAGATATAATAGGGGCTGAGCCAGAAGACAGAAACACAAAAAGCCAGAGAAGTGCAACAACAGTAAAAGTCTCAGTTGGGGGACAGAATGTGAAGCCTCTTTCATGCCTAGCAAGCATTCTACCACTGAGGTCTATCCCCAGCCCCTGGCTCATTTTCTTATAACAACCTACTCTCTCAATGTTTAATCCACTCCTGTGAAACCTAACCTAGTCTGAGAGATTAGCATTAAATCTTTCATTAGGACAGTCATGACCCAATCACTGCCCACCTGGCCTACCTGTTAAAATTCCCATCACCTTTCAGACCATTACATTGCAGACCAAATTTCCAGTACATGAATATTTGGAGGACAATCATATGCAAATCATAATAGGGAGCAATCAGAGGCCTACACCCTGAACAATTTTATAATGTCATCATTTTGCAACTTTGAGGCCACATTGTGACTCTGTTAAGGAGAGGGGCATCCAGAGAAAGAAACACATAGAATCATTTTACTTTAATAATGCATTTCTGAAATATCATCAGACTATCTTGCTGAAGGCACACAAACATACAGCAGCCTTAGGAAGGGGCAAGAAGCAAGGTGGGGCTGGATGTGGTAGCACATGCTGGTAATCCCAGCACTCTGAACAATTTATCGATTTAGGAAGAGCCTGTCTCAAAATAAGAAATAAAAAGGGGCTGAGGATGTAGCTCTGCATGAAAACCCTGAGTTCAATCCTAGTACCTAAAACATACACACAAACATACACACACACACACACACACACAGCAGTGAAATACTATAATGTGATGGTTTGATGGAGCCTATGCAATAGTGCATTCAAAAGAAGCTAAACCACCATAAGTTTTCCCAAGGAGTTTATCTGAAGATAACCCTAGTTCTGACTCAGTGATGATTGACAAAATAATGTGGGGTGGGTTTTTTTTTTTCGGAGGAGGAGGGTAAGAAAATGTTAATACCTGGGTTCTGTGCTTTTTGAAAGGTGTCTTTAGTATTTCAAAACAAGGCTTGGCATTAAAAGCATTATTATATCTAGTTTTAAAAAATTATCAAACCCTAAGAACTGCACAAGTAGCTGACTTTTTCAAAGAGTGTCATTCTGAGTGAAACCCTTTCTCCGGACCATTTTAGCAAGGGGAAATAACTAGGTTCTTTCAGTCAGGCAACTCCTTTGCTATAGCAGGTAACTGTGAATTAGGTGTGCTAGAGTCTAAGAAGGGTACAGGCAGGATGGCCAGCCTTATGCTAAGTCTTCAGCCCCTTCATTAAATTTTAATTATTGGAAAATGTCATATCCTTAAAAATGTAAACATGTCCTGACTTCTTTTATATGAAAAACCCAAAGTATAAATAATTTAAAGAGTAAAATAAAAGGCAATAGAAAAGAGGGAGATAGATCTTTGACAAATGGGAAGGGGATCTAGAGATGGAGGGAGAGGAGCACAAAGGGAGAAAAAGGAGAAACAGAAAGAATTAAGACCCATTATATACATGTACCAACCCCCACAATGACTGTGATCATTATGTACTGAAACATGTACAAATTTTAAAAATTTTTGAGTGAGCAGTGGTGTGGACCAGGGCACAGGCAGGTGTGCAGCTACAGGCAGATCTAGCCAGGGGCCTGCCCCAACCCCAGCCACTTGGGCACACAGGCCCAAGCCAAAGCCCCACCTGGAAAAGAGCTGCATAGACACACAATCATCAGCCAGAGGCCCACCCCAAAATCATCTGAAAGTATGCAGAGATCCCAGAAAGCAGCAGTGTAGACCACAGTGGTGCAGCTTCGGGCAGGTCCAGTCAGGCCCCTGCCCAACCCCAGCCGCTTGGACACACAGGCTCAAGCCAAGGACCCACTTGGAAAAGAAATGCACAGGCACACAAGCAATAGCCAGAGGCTCACCCCGATACCATGAATAAGTGCATGGAGAACCTAGCCAGAAGCCTGCTCAGACACCAAGGAATGGGGTGCACAGCCCCTAGACAGAGACCATCCAAAACAATAGCTACATAGAGAGGCAGGCCCTAGCCAGAGGAATGCCTAGATAACATCCCAGGTGTGCACAAGACCCAGCCAGAAGCCCATCCAGACAACAGGTCAGCTCAGGGATCCAGAAGGCAAACATTCTGAACTGAGGAATTGGTGTACTGGTGAGCAGCATAGAAAAGGCTGTTCGGTGACTTGCTGAGAACTGAAGATGACTGGGTGAGCAAAAAGTTGCCTCAACAAAGCCACAGCAGGCTGCATTTGTTGAAATGAGAAGACAAGTAAATAAGTCTTAAAATCAGACTTCCAGATCACCTAAGGCAACCACAAAGGGAAATGAGATAGAACAATCTGATACCCCACCAAATGGACTCCCTGAAACGGCGATGAAGGAGGATCTGGAAAAAATGATATCAGAAATAATTTCTCAGAAAACAACAGAAATTCTGCCCACAGTGCAAGACAGGATTAATAAATCTACAGCAGAAACAGCCAGCAAAATAGAGGAGCTGAGGAACATGGTGGAATCTCAACATAGGAAACAAATGGAATCCATAAAACAGATGCAAATGGATATCTGAGAGATTAAAAACTCCACTGGAAGTTAACGCAGCAAAATGAGCCAATGTGAGGACAGAATTTCAGATGTAGAAGACAGGACTGCAATGAGTGACCAGGAAAAGAAAAATTTCTTTTTTCTTTTTTTTTTTTTTTTTGGTACTGGGGATCAAACTCTGGTCCTTGAGCTTGCGCAGCAGGAGGTGAAACCACTAAGCTAAATCCCGAGTCCAAAATTTCTTAAAAATAATAAGAGACCACTAAAAATCAATTAAGGAGCTTGTAGATGATGCAAAGAAGAATAACATAAGGCTGATCACAGTCAATGAAGAAACAAGAGAGTGCCATGACTTAAAAATCTGTTCACAGAAGTAATGACTGAAAACTTCCCAGGTAGGGGGGAAGAACTTGACATACAGATAAGTGAGGCAAGTAGGACTCCAACTAGCTTTGATCAAAAAAAAAAAATCTACACATAGGCATATAATAGTTAGGATTCCAGAAATCCAACAGAAGAACAAAGTTCTACAACCACTTAGAGAAAAGAAACAAACCACATACAAAGGAAAGCCCATCAGAATCACAGCAGACTTCTCAAAGCAAACCCTCAAGGCAAGAAGAGCTTGG